AGGCGGCAGGCGGGAATCGAACTCATACGGAAGTGGCTTCAGATTCTCAGTGCTGTGCTTTAACCCGCTGCGCCACCAGGGAGGGCCAAAATGAACTTTTTAATAAAAAAAAAAAGCAAAAAAAAAAAAAATGCCTGTGAAGGAGGCAGTGCACCCACCCACCTGTGACTCTGCAGGTGTCTCTTTATACAGAACGTTTGTGTTTGCAGCTCCTTCTACACGCGGGTGTCTGTGCATGTCTTTTACTTACCTTTGCTTTTGTAATAAATTGCCCTTTGGGTATAAACAAAGTAGAAAAATCCCTGCAGATAAAAAGTAGATCTTAAGATTATACATGTCAGTCAATTGTGTAGAAAGAATACTTGTCAGGTTTTTTCCCAGAGACCTGTCACCTCCTCAGACATTGCATCTCAGAGTCATTTCACCACAGATTATGCACCTCAGAAACTTGTCTTTAAGAGTACTTTCCCTCAGGTTTATCTCCTCCATTTTCAGTTTTCTATTCAGACTGGTGGCCAAAAGTACTCACCTCAGATGATTCTACTGGGGGCCTGATGTTCTTCCACAATGGTTCCTAAAGAGTCATTTTCTGTCAAAACTGTCCAGTCTTTTGTCAAGTTTGCCAAAACTTTGCCAAATGCCAAGGTTCTACTCCACAAAACCTTGACTTTGCTTCTGACATTGGTTCCAAAAGTGACATTTCTCCTCAGCTTTGTACCCCCAACACTTGTGCCAAAGTTTACTTCACCTCAAGTATTTTTTTTTCCACCAAATATCTGTATTTAGCTCATACTATGATTCCAAGTGTCATTTTCCACAGAATTTGCATCTCTAGACTTGTGAACTAGATTAATTCTCCAAGGTTTTCCTATGCAGACTAGAGATTTCCTCAGACGCTGGTCCCCAAAGTGTCAGTTTTCCTCAGATATTGCGTCTAAGACTCCAATGAAAGGAATAATTCTTCACAGGTTTGTCTCCTCAGAGACTTCCATTTTCCTCAGCTACTGGTTCCCAGTGACACTTTTCCCCAGATTTTTAGTCTCTGATACTTGTGCCAAAGCATAATTTCTCTTCAGAGACCTGCGTTTTCCTCAGACACTGGATCCCAAGTGTCATATTTCCTCAGATTTTGAGTCTCTCACACTAGTGAAAGAGGATTTTCTCCTCAGAGACCTGCATTTTCCTCAGACACTGGTTCTCAAAGTGTGATTTTTCCTCAGATTTTGTGTCTCAGACTTGTGACAAAGAATAAATATCCACATGTTTTTCTCATTAAAGTTCTGTGTTTTCCTCAGACATTGGTTTCCAAGTGTCAGTTTTCCTTAGATTTTGAGTATCAGACACTTGTGAATATGTGTAATTCTTCACAGGATTTTTTCCTCAGAGACCTGCGTTTCCTCAGAAACAAACTGGTCCACAAAGTGTCACTTTTCCTCAGATTTGTGACTCTGACATTTGAGAGAAAGAGTAATTCTCCCCAGGTTTTCCTTTTTGGAGAAGGGTTTTCCTCAGAAAGTGGTTATGAAAGTGACATTTCATCAGATTTGGTGTCTTAGATTCTAGTGAGAAAGCATAATTCTACACAGTTTTTCTCCTCACAGAGCGGCGTTTTCTCAGATAATGTTTCCCACAGTGTCACTTTTCCTCAGATTTTGAGTCTCTTACGATTGTGAGAAAGATCAATTCTCCACAGGTTTTTCTCCTCCAGAGACCAACGTTTTCCTCAGACATTGTTTCTCAAAGTGTCTCTTTTCCTCAGATTTTTGTCTTTGACGCTGGTTAGAATTTGTAATTCTCCACAGGTTTTTTTCCCCAGATACCCGTGTTTATACGTAGACACTGGTTCCCAGTGTCACGTTTCGTAAGATTTTGCCATTATCACACTTAGAAGGAAGCTTATCTCCACAGGTTTTTCTCCTTAGACACCTGCGATTTCCTGACACACTGGTCCCAAGTGTCACTTTTCCTTAAAATTTGTGTTTTTGACTCTAATGATAAAGTATATCACTACAGGTTTCTCTCCTTAGAGACCTGCATATTCCTCAGACACTGGTTGGCAAGGTGTCATTTTTTGAGACTTCATGTTTCTCCACTTACGACAATGTGCATGTATACAGTTTTTCTATCCAGAGTCCTGCGTTTTCCTCAGATTCTGGCTCCCAAGGTGTCAGTTATCCTCATATTTTGTGTTTCTGACACTCATGAGGAATCGTGTCTCCAGAGGTTGTTCCTGTCAGAGACCTGCATTTTCTTCAGTCATTGGATCCTAATGTGTCACTTTTTCTCAGATTTTGTGATTCTGACACTTATGACCAAGTGTTTCTCCACAGGCTTTTGCTCTCAGAGACCTGTTTTTTTCTCAGACACTGGTCCCTAAGGTGTCACGTTTTCTGACACTTTGCCTTTCTGACACTTATGACACTGTGTATCTCCACCTGATTTTCTCTCCAGACACCTGAAATTTCCTCAGACTG